AATATTGAAATTGTTGGTGGTTGGGATTTGTTGGTGCTCTTTTTTGAGAGAGAATGAGTTGATATCTAAGGGATTTTGGAAGTTTAGGTGGGAGATTGAAGAAGAAATGGGAAGGTTTTGATTGTTATTTGGGTTTGATGTAGTAATGGCTCTTGCACTTTCCTCTGCCAATGCATCACAAAAAGCTCTGTGGGTGATGAAACTATCCCTCCTGTTCATAAAAAGACCAAGCACACATAAATGTGGTATCAAGCACATATGAATGTGGTATCAAGCACATATGAAGATGGTATCAAGCACATTTGAAGATGGTATCAAGCACATATGAAGATGGTATCAAGCACACATGAGTGTGGTATCAAGCACATATGAGTATGGTATCAAGCACATATGAATGTGGTATCAAGCACATATGAATGTGGTATCAAGCACATATGAATGTGGTATCAAGGACATATGAATGTGATATCAAGCACACATGAATATGGTATCAAGCACACATGAATATGGTATCAAGCACACATGAATATGGAATCAAGCACACATGAATATGATATCAATACATTAATAGGTTTTCACACTTATCTAAACATACTAGTTCATCCCATATCAAGCCTAACCTATAAATTTAACCTTTTAGGCCTTAGATTTATATTAGATAAATAATACTTCATTTATATCGATAAGAACGCTCTTAAATCATTAGGTTAGAGGTCTTTTTACGATAACTTAGTCTGAATTTGTAATTTAACCTATAAATTAAACTTTTTTGCCTCAAATTTGTATTAGACAATAATATATCATTCATGTCGATAAAAACACTCTTAAACCATTAGATGAAAAGCATTTAAATTAACCTATAATTGAAGCTTTTTGGCCTCATATTTGTATTAGATCAATAATATCTCTCATTCACACATCGATAATAACACACTTAAATCATTAGATTAGATGCATTTATACAAGAACTAAGAGCTGAATTTGTAATTTAACCTAGTGAGTATTTTTGTACCTCGAGAAAAGGGTTCCACAATCACATCTGTACTCTCTAGTGCCACAAGTCTTGGAATGAGCTTTCCAATCCGATTGAACAGCATACCTCTTAGAACACTTATCACATTTCCATTTCTTCTCGCCATGCTTTCTACAAAAGTGCTTCTTGATTCCTGTCAAGTCCCCAAGAGCCCTTAATGGATCATGATGAACACAGCTTGTTTCTGGACACACATAAACTTTCTTCCTTATAACCTCTTTGTTAGCTCTTTGCTTCAACTTCCATGGTAAATTGTGCCCTCTTTTGTGAAGCTGAAGATTCTGATCTCTCTGAAACCCCTTGCTGCAGATCTCGCATACGAATCGATTCGTCGCCATCAGCGTCTTCGGAGATAAAGCTACCACTTCGGCATCTGGGTCTGTCACCAAATTCAACCGAATTAATTGTTAGATCCATAAATGAAAGAATCAAGGAAACAATTAACATAAACAAAAACAAACAAACCTGGATTTCCGGGGAGGTTTCTCTTCTTTTTTGGTGGTGGTGGTGGGGTAGAAAAATACTGGCCGGAATAGTTGGCCGGAAGTTGATCGGAACGGTTGCCGGAGCAGGCACTGGGTTCACCAGAAGCTGAAGTTAAATTGGACATAGTGTCCTCCATAGCTGCTGGTTGTTCAAACAACGAACTTTTTATTTTGTAGAAAACAAATTAGAATTGGAAGACGGGGGATCGATCCGAAGAAACGAGCAAAAAAGTCGTCTTTTTTGATCTTTTGTGCTTAATTTGAAGCTTGGGATGAATTGGCAGTGACCCAAGAGACAATTTTGAGGCTTTTTTTTTAAAAAAAAATTGATAATATCAATGAAAAATATGAACAAACAAAAACAAAACCCAGAAAGAGGAGAGAGAGAGAGAGAGAGAGAGAGAAATTGATAGTTTAAAGGACAATAGAGAAAAACAGAAAGAGGCAAAGGAAATGAAGCCTACGGCTGGCGAAACCCTTGTTCATGTTTCACTTTCTGTCGTCTCCTCTCTCTCTCTCTCTCTCTTCTTCTTCTTCTTTCTTTTGTTGGAAAAAGTTTTAAAATTTTGTTGGTCTAATTCATGGAATCATCTTTAAGTTTACCGGTAAGGAATACATTTCTATTAGTATAAGTCGCTTTTTCGCTTATTTTACCATTGTGAAAATTCGTGATTTCTAACCGGCCTATGTTCAAAGTAGATAATATCACTCACCAGATAGAATTCACTCCAACACTCCTATACCCTTTTCTTTATTCTCTCTAAAAATGAAAACTTGGTAAAAAAGTGGGTAACTATTGCAAAAGGGTGTCATGGTAAAAGGAGAGTATCATTTTGTATATACCTTAGAGAGAGAGAGAGAGAGGGAATTTTATTCGTTTATTATTAATTGTTCTCTTTATTATTAGATCCATGATGGGAAATGAGTAAGATCCTTTCCCCAACTTTCTCCCCAATTACTGTGCCATCATTCATCCATTCATTATACATCAAAAGCTTTCTCACCGTTTTAATCTAATAATCCAAAATTTTGAAATTAGAAAACAAAATCGGGTTACCATTCCATTTGAACGATTCGAAACTAGTCAGAGAATGTATTTTTTTACGACTCAAGATCAGTATTTTGGCTTAGATTTGATATACTCGATTCCTTTCCTCCTAGTTTCAATTTTTCCGTAACATTAGTATGACTACCTTTTAGCTAATTTAAATTTTGGGAGTCGCTAATTTAAAGGATTAGGAGTAAGTTTAAATTATTTTATGCAAAACTAGTGAGACAATTCCATGTTAGAATTCTAATTTATGATAGTTGGAGTTGTGATGGAGAATTAAATTTTAGAGATCAACATTAAGCTAGCATTAATGAGTCGTAGCAGCTTCGACCTAAGCCAACCAAGTAAGTGATCTTACTATCGGCTCGATCGGAAGACTTGTTTTGATGACACGTGCCTAGTGGCCCTTACACGCGTCATTTATGTTTTATGTTATATGATGATATGATGATGTTGTATGATGACGTGATGATGTTAGATAACAATGTGATAATGTTGTATGATGATGTGATGACGTTAGATGATGATGTGATGATGTTAGATGATGATGTGATGATGTTAGAAGATGTAATGAATAAATCTAGTATACAAAGTAAAGGCAATTTACAAGCAAGAATGTGGTTAGTTCTTATGCAGCTAAAAATAAGAATGTTTCAAGTAGAATGAGAATCTCGATAACCTAAAGACTGATTGAAGCATCCGGTTGGTCTTCACGATGTTACTTTGTTATTTATTTAATAATAATTATGAGTCCATTTTATATTTTCCAATTAAAATGAAAGCGATAATTCTTTAAAATAATGGAATGCATGCATGTCCGTCTCAAAACATAATGCATTACTCACTTTTAATATAGTAATTCTCTACACGTTTGTTCACATACACCTACTTTGTGAACTCATTAATATACCTCATCGACTAACCTATGGGCTAGTGCACGCTAACTATATAGAAAACCAACAAAAATGAAAGATACACGAATAATATTGTGGTGTGCTCACCAATACATAACATGTTGGAGAAGTAATCCATGATCATATGACATACAATATTCACGAGGTTCCACGTTAAAAATCATGGTTCAATGATATGATGAACCATTATATCTTCATCGTGATATATATTCCTTTGAAACATACGTATATATTCATGGTACATTTGTGTCTCACGAGACATAAACATGATCATATTAACATAGCAATCATAACCAACAAAGAGAAAATAAATGCATCACAAAGTTCATTAGAGTATCACAACATAAATAACGTGTAAATAAGGTCACACGGCACGTGTTATTCATCCATCCATCAATGTCGAATGGAGGTGACGCTTATTTTAGTAGTAAAAAAGAAAGGAAGTAGATTGGGCTGTCATGTAATCCAGCATCACCACACGTGAGCATAATATTCCTGTGAATCCCAGCCTAATAAAGTTCACGAGCGAGCCTATTAGAGAAGAAAGCGAGGGTCCCACCCCAACACAATAATTGACAAAAAGGTAGGCCCCACAAAAACAGTCCAAAAATCTAAAATAAAAAATAACAATAAAATTGACATTAAATGAAAATGGTAAATTTACCGCCCTTACCCTTTCATCTATTAATTAATAAAACTAAATTCACATTAAATAATAAGGTATATGGAACATATAAGCTTTAATTAAAGATCTTATATGAACGTATAAGGTTATTCAATCTTACACCAAATTATTTATTTTTGAAGGGAAATTGAATTAAGATGAAGATTAATGAAAAGTTCAAAGTTTATTATAAAATTCTTGGCAACCTACCCTCAATTACTTTAAAACTAAAAATAATAAAAATATATTTTTCGGCTACCTACTCACCATTTATCTATTAATACAAAATAATTTATAGGGTCGGATTGCCACGTTGTCAAAGGAGTGGGACCCAAATCCCAATAAGTTAATGAATAAAAAAAACACCAATGTATGTAGGGTGCTTGTATTTACTTAGATCTATTTCTCAAACCATTTCATTTACGACAAGCCTGTGTGGTTACGGGGGCGAGCACGAGCGGTCTGGTGTTCAAGCTAATTGGTCAAACAACGACGATTGAACTTATTAGATTAGTATTAACTGCCTATCTCGAAAGAAAATGGGATAATAGAAAGAACGGGAAGCGCCCTTTGTTGGAAAGCCCTTTGATTAATGAGAGTTTCGTACTGCTCGCCGCTCCCTAGCTTAGCTAGCTTAGAAGCTCCAGAAGAAATTAGAAGTTCAAATCTCCACCTTCGTGTTCCTGAGGCGTGATTCTTCAAGCATAAATGATTGTTTTCTTACGTGTTTTTTTGGTCAACAAAGTACCAAACATCACTATATGGAGTGATTTTAACAAAAACATTTAGACAAAAGTGATTTTGGCACTCCGAAACTTGCCCTTATCATTACGAAAATCAAATTCGACTCTTATAACCAGACACCAAAAGTTATGAGCCTCAGAAGAGTGAACAAAAGTCATACAAAATTCACCCCAACCAAAGCAATGGTGTCAATATAATGAAAATTACAGAATAGAAGGGCTAGAAAACCATAAGAAAGTCAGAACAAAGAGGAGGTCATGGGTTTAGAGAATCCTGTATTTGTATGTTATATAGGTGAATATCATTTTATTGATATGGTTAAAATTAGTGAAACAATGAATGGGGCAAAATGCAAAAAGTAATAAAATGTTAATATGAAGGTCAGAGAGTTACTGATATTCGAAGCCCATCGTAGCTTAGTTGAGCATCAACACCTTCACTCTCCTTCAGCTTCAACAGATATCCATTTACTTCATCATGATCCATTAAATGCATCATACCTTCATATCAAATAGTTTCAGTTAAGTTCAAACCAGAGACTGTAAATCAACAAAGATAAAAGATTTACAGCAATGAATTCAATCGATAAAAGGAGTAGAATCAAGTAGAATGCAGTTTATACCAGTGAATAAAGTTCTCTTGGGTTGTATTTTCCTTACTTCCTCTAAAGCCTGAAAGAAAAAGAAGAACAACAAACTTTGATTCTCTTTCTTTTAGTTTATTATGCTTAGGAAACATAGAATGAATGTCAAGAATTACTCTTGGAAGCCCGAAGTGGGTGGAAGAAGATCGATCCGGGCGTAACGCATCCTGAAAGTGAACCGAATCATAACTATTATTCTCTTTTAGATTTATGTTTGTTTCTAATGGAAGAAAGAGAGAAAGAGATAGGCACCATTATGAGAATTTCACAATCTTTCAAAAGTGGGTAAGTTTCTTCAGGTATTTCACTAACATCACTGCCCACAAAAGCAGAAAAGCAGACAAGTATTTGTTAATCCTAAGCTGATTAATGCTTCTGAGATAATTTTGTGATGGAGAAGCCTATTTTCCTTACTTACCTAATGTAACAAACATTCCCAAATCGAAAACCCAACGAACGATAGCCACGACCATGCCAAACTGGTAACGGTGTAACCTGAAACGAGAGAACGAAAATGAGTAAATAGCTATCAGAATTACTTGAGAGTTGCATTTCAGGTCAATAATCATGACTTTCAAAGCTTCGCCAGTTCTCATAACTTAACTTCTGTTCCATACTGTAATGAACTAATTTGATAAAGTATAAACAATCCTAAATACAGCTCTAGGACTTGGGAAATCGTCCAACATCATAGACCTGTATGCTTTTTTATGAAGATTGAAACAAAACCATAATCGTTTTTTCAGATGAACAATCCTACATACAGCTCTAGGATTTGGGAAATCATCCCAAATCAGAAACCTGTGCCGTTTTACTGCCAGGTTCATTAGAAGTGAAATGAAAAACAAAAGATTAATAAGGAATAAAATGAAAATGTTCTGAGGAATTTTCTGCTTTCATTAATTGAACATTGCATGCAAACAAGCTGGTGATAAAATTCAATTCCATTCAAGAATTTGGAGGCTTAAAAACAAATCCCTTCAAAAGTACAATTCCTACCTTCAAACCGCTGACTACAAAAGGCTCCTCAGGTATGATATTGAACTGCAAGTCTGAAACTGCAGCACCAGGTGCGATCACACTTGTGTCTACCAAATAATAGTGAGTCTTCTTCATCACCTAAAGTAATTCCACTATATATAATTTATCAAATAAAAAAGGGTTAAATTATAACAAATACCCATGAACTTTGCCATTGTTTCAAAAATGTCCTTGTTCTTTCAAAAGTTAAGCTATTACTCTTGAACTTTCATAAACGTTTCAAAACTAATTTTGGAGTATAAATCCATTAAGGTGGAAATTGGGACATGTGGAGGCGACCGAAAATGGTGTGGCAATTCAAATCTTCATTCTAGGTCACGTCACATCGTTTTAAGTCTCAATTTTTGTAGATATTCTAAAGGATTTCAACTACAATGGTAGTTTGAAATGTTTATGAAAAGTCAAGGGTAATATTGCAACTTTTGAAAGAACAAAAGTATTTTTAAAACAAATGGAAAACTTGGAATATTATATAATTTAGCCTTAAAAAAGTGAAATACCTTGGAACATGGATACAAAAAAAAAAAAAAAAGGAATTAAACTATAAAATTTAAACCTCAAAATCACGTTGAGCCACATAAATTGGAATGGAAGGCTGGACATTGTTTGTCCAATCACGAAGATCGTCTAGACCTGATAGTAAAAAGGAAAAAAAGAAAAAAAAAAAAGAAAGAGAAAGAAACAGTGGTCAACGATTAGTTTGAAGTTTATATAAAAATGAAGGAATGGAGTAAAAAAATGTACTCTAGAATTGCAACTTTTATTATAATCTAAAATAAGATTAGATTGCAAGGTGATGCTTGAGACCTCCAATTGCATCAGCATGAGAATGAGTAATAATAACCGCATCAATTGTTCTTATCCTGGCAGAAATGCAACAAGTTATGATCAGACAAAAATCATACTAAAACGAGAATGGCATAAGATCGTGTTAGAAAGCAACACTATGTCATACTCAAATATATAAACAGGACAACAACTTGAAATGTAGCGTATTAATTGAATACAACAGCCAAATGGCTACGCATTGAAACAATTGAAACAGAATCTGAAATGGCACGCGAAAGAAGGTTTCCTGTCTGGTACCTTCTGCTCGAACACCCCAAGGGAAAGGAAATGGGATCCTCATTTGGCATATATAGACCACTTCACTTTCCATGTTATAACAGAGGAACGATAAAATTGAACTCATGGACTTACAAGATATATGAGTTTACAGATTTCCCTTTCAAAAATTACAAATAAACATAAAACTAATTAACTTGGGTTATAACGCTCTTAGCAATAGAAGTGCATCTAGACCCCCCCTAATCTAGTTTCATTAACCAAGCATTACGAGCAACCAAGTAGCTACCTAAGTTTACTCTATAGAAAAGGTTGAACTTAAGCAAAAATAATAACAATAATAAATAATTAAATAACCAATTACTGACCCGAATGTTGGAAACCATTGGAGAGCGCTGTGGTAGAAAAACCTGCACGAAAAGTATAGAATTGTCACAACAGCCACCATCCAAATATTGCAACAGCAGATAAACTTTTAACCTAGTTCCCATGATTATAGAAAAAGAATCAGAAAGGCACTAATGTACAGAATATAGGCTAAGAAATAAAACCATAAGGTAATAATATACTAACTTCCCAACGTCGATAAGAATGTTACGAGTTCCAGAAGATCCAGCATATCGAACTAGGATACCGGTATTAAGCCTCCTGTTTTTATTGCCCGGTTCTGCAGCTTTGAAGCATACCTAAAATAAATAAATAAGAAAATCATAAAATGCTGTTAAGGGTTGTTTAGATCATGAGTTAGGATAATAACTTGAAGTTAAGAAGTCAAGTCTATTGTGACATCCCACATCGGTGAGAGAGTGGAACAAACATTCCTTATAAGGTGGGGAAACCTCTCTCTAATAGAGGCGTTTTAAAATCTTGAAGGAAAAGCCCAAAGAGAACAATATTTGCTAGTGGTGGATTTGAGCTGTTACAAATGGTATTAGAGCCAGACACCGGGCGGTGTTCCAACAAGGATGATGGGCTCCCAAGGGGGGTGGATTTTGAGATCCCACCTCAGTTGGAGAGGGGAACGAAGCATTCATTATAAAGATGTGAAAACTTCTCCCTAACAGACGCATTTTAAAACCTTGAGGGGAAGCCTCGAAGAGAAAACCCAAAGAGAAAAATATCTACTAGTTGTGGGTTTCGGCTGCACATAGATGCTACAATCTACATATACTCAGTACATAAACCTGTACTTATGAAAAGCAAATTTAATACTATACACTGACTTTGAAAAATCATAAACCTATAAACTAAACACAAAGTTCACATACCCACATTTCTGTAACCTACAATACCTTCCCATTTAAGTCCACTACTAGTAGGTGCCATTAGTTTCATTCTTACGATCGTCTCATTCGGAAGGAATTTAAGCCACTACTAAACAATTGACAATAATCAGCACGTTCACTTAAGCTCAGAAATTGAATAACCTACCGGACATTTCTTTACAGGATCAGTCAGGCAGCTGACTCGTGGGATTCCTTCGCTGGTACCCGAACCTGTAAATATAATTTCTGATTCATTGGCAGATAACGGCTGTCCAATGTCGCCACCAGAAACTGTAGATACAAAGAAAGAATTACCACACATAATATGCAAACCCACTAATTTCAATTCCACATCAGGCCTAATTTCAATTCCACATCAGGCCTAATTTCAATTCTCGCAGTTGATCAACAAAATAGAGTAGGAGAGAGTAATCAGGAAAATCTCGTACAATTTTCCTCTTGAAAACTCAGAAAACGAATGTGCCGTATAAGATGAAACTACAGCAATGTGAAGTACTAAAGAATCTTAAGTACAGTGAGCCATGCAAAATCCCCAATCCCCAGCTTGACAACTCGTGAATACAAAACAATTGAAGTGGAAAATAAATAAATTGTCGACACAAACAGCAGAGATAGTGAAGAAAATCGAATCGAAATCGAAAGAGGGCGTAGAGATCATATAGCAGAATCGAATATCCATCAAAGCAAACAGTGAGAAATGTAGCTCACCGGATTGAAGGAGAGGTCGGGCGATATGTCGAAACGCAGAAAACCCTTTCCTGGTAATCGAAAATGAGGAGGTTGGAAGATGAACTCGGGTTGTGAGAGCGGCCAGATAGGCCATAGAAGTGGGGGGAAGAGTCGTACCCACAAACAAAACCATGAGAAAGAGTTCGATTACCAAATCCTTGTAAACGCGGTTTGATTTTGATGGAAATAATGAAAAAAAAGGCACTTTTTTCTGATTTAATCCAAAAGTGCTTCTTCTAATTAATATATAAATAATATTAATATATTGGTTTAAAATATATATTTATAAATAAAAATATATCACCCCTTTTATTTTATTTCATACTAAAATTATTTTCATTTCATTTCAATTTTTTATTTTATTTGAAAACACAGCATATTTTTTAAACCAATAATCGAAACAATAGGAATAAGAAAAAATTTATTATTTGATTACTATAATACAAAAAAAAAATGATATAGAATTAAGTGGAGTATAAGCGACCTAAAGAAAGTTTATCATATTATAGAGCATATATATACTCAAATCTTCGACCCGAACTCAAGAAATTTTGTACGTCTATATTAAATAATGGCGTTGTTTGGTGAGATATATGTTTATTAGAATTGTATTCCATGAGTAAATTAGAATTTGTAATAAATAATAATATTATTTATTTATGAGAAAATTACACTTTTCGTCAGTAGCATTAACATTTTCAATATAGTAATATTTTGGTTCCTAAAACTCACGTGACACTTTTTTTTTCTCTCCTCTCTTTTCTCGTCTCTCATTCTTCTGTGTCATCATCATTATTGCACGAAGTCTCTATTATCAATACTCTTATTATTATTATTATTATTATTATTATATTTGAACGTTAAGGAGAAAGAAAAATGATAAGAATGGAAGGAAGGTAAACACTAGGAAAAGAATGGGGTATTAGTGTTATTATTGGATTATAAATTCCAATGATATAAAATTAATTAATTAAAAATGTTTGATTAATTTTTATTTATTTATTAAATATAATAGTGAAATTGTGTACACAAATAAAATTATTAAGTTAAAAAATTATTTTATTCCTATAATTACTTTTTCGTACCATCAATTATCTAATAAATGATTTGCTTATCAATTGTAAACTAAGTCGATATGGAATTAGTGAAAAGGTGGGCTCATGAAAATTATTCATTTATTTAATCTTATATGAAAATGAGTGAATTCCATTTGTAATCTTATGGTTATCATATCTTTATTTGGTAAGTCTTCAAAATGGCAAGTTTATTGAATTGACTACAAAAATCTCAAAGGTCAAGCGTTTATAGGTAGAAGTTCATTACCCACTTACAATTAAGAGAGTTGTATATGATATCATGTGAAATATTAATCATAAAGAAAGATAAAATATTTATGTTACAGTATTATACAAACTCATTATAATATACGCATTGTAACATTACAAAATGAAATGTGCCAATAGTATTAAGACATCCAACATTTTAGACTTTTTTTTTTTACATAATCTTCAATAATTATCATTAAAAATTAAATAATTAATTACAAAATTTTAGAAAAAAAAACTTTAAGGAGATGTTTGCTCAGTGTTGCAATGACATCTATTTCCATCTGAATTATCATGTGCATTCCAATGGGAATGAACGATTGGTATTATTGGATTATCTAATTTTGATCCAATCTAATAACATTCCAAAGTTATGAAATAGCACGTGAACCGATGAAGGTAATGTTCTAACTATCTGATTTACCAGAAATGAACACAACAGCACGCAGAGGTACAAAATTCAAGAGGGAAGTGCTTCCTATTGATATTGCAAATGACCTATAATCCAATATTATTGAAGCTAAACGGCGTGCAACAGTTTCGAATGAGGAGTGAAATGTTGAGAATTTGATTACTGGGTTCATGAATGCTGCTGCATCTTTGATTTCAACGACTCAATGACGGCTGAGAAATCCTGATCACCGAGTCCATGAGATTTCGCTACCTTGTATACCTCATTTGCAGCTGCAGCAATAGGGGTGGGTTGCGAAACGGATTCCGCTAAACCCAGAGCAAGCCTCAAGTCCTGCCAACAGTTGGCCACGTGAGAATTAAGTTATATACACAAGACTTGTATAGAGTTGCTAGAACTAAAACAATTACCTTCTGTTGATGCTTCAAAGGAAAGGCAGTTGGATAAAGGGATTGAATCATTGATGGCCCCTTGAGTGAATACATTGGTGCACTAATGGCACCCTGTGAAACAACCTGTAACGACACCAAAAATTTACACTTCAATCTGGGCCAGAATAATCATTCGACTTTTTTCGCAGGCTTAAGCATTGAGAATAAACTAAAACCCAATTGTTGTTCTGGGGAATACCTGTACAAGGATGCTTGGGTCAAGTCCTACTTTTTCACTTAGAAGCAATCCTTCGGAGAATGACGCCATCATGCTACAAATATTTAGAAAATAATTACCAAATTATTGTCAAGATACTAACTCGCAGCAATGCCAAATAGAAATTAGAAGATAAAATATGGGACAGAACCTTCCCATGATCATGTTGACGACAAGCTTCATTGCAGCTCCATTTCCGACTTCCCCAAGATAAAATTTTGACTATATGAAAATAAAATGTACAAACGGAAGAATGGAAGAAAGAAGCAGCAATTTTCACCAAATTAGTAAGTCAATTAACTTAAATTTCTTATTACCTTGCCCATGATGTCCAGAAGCGGAGCAACTCTTTCATACAGAGCTTTGTCACCTGAAGATGGAACCACTACATTATTATTCTAGTCTTCTTACAGTAGATAAATGAGATACATAGGAGACGGCACAGAAAGAAAGCAGTAGGATAAATGTAATTGATGAATCTACTCTATACAGCTCAACGTTGGAATTTCGATGATAATACAATAGTCTCCTCTGCACTCGCTACAAACTACTGCAATCTCTTGTATAAAGTTTACGATGTGAATAGAATCTCTCTATAATTAATATGACTCGTGATAATATGATAATCCCTTTATAATGTAAATTACTGACCTGCAGTAAGAAATATAAGTTGTCCGTCTTCCGCAGGCTTTTTGGAGCCGGAAACTGGAGCCTAGAAAACAGTTGCAATTAGTACGTTCAAATGTCAATGATTACAGTATGAACACCGGCAAGCAGTCCTGGAATGCTCATTCTAATTGGTAACTGCTCGTAGTACGCTTGGTTATAAATATTATCCTACCTCCAGAAACAGAGCTCCCGTATCCTTTATACGTGCACTAACCAAATTAGAAGTAGCAGCATCAACTGTTGATACATCCACATACCTGCCAGTGGCAATAGGATGCGATAAAATGTCTACACGATGATTAAAATAAATCGAAGGACTTCGTGGAAGCATTCAAATGAAGATATTGAAAACTCAACGGAGGTCGGCAGGCAGGAGAAAGCTTTAATAAAAATAAAAAAAAACACTACCGCAATTTGCTCCAGCGCTAGATAACAGATGCAAAATTTAGTAAGACAAAGTGAAAAGATGATATTCTAATGTGAAAATGAAAGGACAGTTATACCCTTTTCCTGGGCTCAATCCACTCACAGCTCCATTTTCTCCCACAGCAACATCCAACTGAAAATGGTAGAACAAGTTGTTAAACCTTTTTTTTTTTTTTTTTTAATTATAAAAATCGAGCTTTCACCAAGAAAAAAATAAAAGAATACAGCGGGCAGACAAAAAAACCAACCCAAAAGAAGTCAAGCTAAAGAAGAAGGCTCCGATCAAGCAAGATCAAACCTAACGGATAATCCCAAAAGCCCTTGAACATTCAGCCCCAAAGGGAGGTATGCAACATGACTGCTCTCAACCTCTAAACACCCTATTGTTCCTCTCTCCCAAAACTCCAAAATAAGGCACAAATGCCAACCATTTACAAAAAACGATCCTTCTTGTTAAAGGGTGGATGAAGCAACAACTCCTCAATCAAAGTTTAACCACAAGACCATAAAAGATATCGAGGTCCTTTGGTACTCCCTTGCAAATGATACAATTTTGCAGGCCTATCTATGAAGATGACCTTCCCGTAATTCGATCCGGATCCATGATTATCTCTACCATGAAGAACTTGCCAGACAAAACTCTAACCTTTTAGGGGATTTCAGCCTTCCACAGCGAGGAAAAAACTTCAAAACGGGAGAAGGAAGGAATAACCAAACAGTTAAAATAAATAAATAAACTGCATGTTAACTCCTTAGAAGGATTAGAAATCCAAGTGCAACGATCCGTATTCCCGGGAAAAATAGAAAAATCCCCTAATAAAGATAAGAGGACATAAATATTAGTAATTTCTATATCAAATAACGACCATCAAAAACTAGTTTAGAGGAGGAAGCCGCGAAGGAGGAAAAGACGGAGGCCACCAAATGAAGTCTCTTGGAGAAAAATGGTATAAGCGAGGGAATAAAAAGCAGAAGGGCAACTGTGTGGAAGTGTTTTCAAACTCCCACTCAAAAGAGTGAAGACCGTGTTTACTCGCAATAACCTTGTGCAAAAGGGTGTTAAGATTCTTGGGGGAAGGGCCACATCCACTTAGCCAAAAAGGCTTCATACACATCTTACAATTACTAATGCCTAATCCTTCGAGCTCTACTGGCTTGAACCACACTCCAATCCACGAGATGAGACCCTTACCTTCGTCTACCCCCTCCCAAAGAAAGGCTCGCATACTTTTCTCCAAAGAATTATTGACTGAAACTGAGATCCTAAACAAGGAGAGGAAATACATCGACATTCCTGTTAGAATGGGCGGAATCAAAGTAAACTTTCCTCCTTTGAAAAAAAAAAGTTAGAAGACTGAAATAAGCTTCTTAAATTTCTTGAGTTCAACATGGGGTGTAGGATTTCAACCTCATTTGGATGGGAATTCTCCCTTTTTGTAAATTTAATACCATCTATGAATTTATTTCCTATCAAGAAAAGAACAACAAAAAAAAAAATAATAATAATAAACAGTCTAATAATAGAAGATAAAAAATAAAAAAATAAAAAAATACTCACTGCACTTTCAGGGTCAGCAAGCATGGCAAATGTGACATCACAAGATGCTGCCACCTTCTGAGGAGAAGGCTGATATCTGCATCAGCGGACTTGTTCAATTATAATTGAAGCATCGGAGTAAAATACCAGAATCGAGTGAAACTCAA